TGAGCTCATCCGCAGTAGTGATTTCGATTCTTGATGTTTCCTTTTAATAATTGAGGAATATTGTCTATAGCATTTGTGCCCTGAAAATTTAAAGTTTGGTGTCTAGGAAATGTGTCTAGCGACGATGGAATGTCTCAGGTATCGCTAATGGTGGCGCCGACGCCAGTGCCGGCCTAGGTTACTGTTCCGTCTACGCAAAACATTTCCACCGTCATCCCAGACGAGATCGTTGTCGCTGCCGCAGCAGCCGGCCGCGAATACCGGTGGGTTTCCGTCTCAATGGAATGATCCTGGGAGCCCGATGTCGGATTCGACGTCGTCGTCTACTTCGTCGGATGAGGATATCCAGAGGCGGCACCGGCGGAAGAGGAAGTGGAAGCACTTCTTCGAGCGGCTGATGAAGGATGTGATTGAGAAACAGGAGGAGCTGCAGAAGAGGTTTCTAGAAGCTCTCGAGAAGCGGGAACGCGACCGGATGGTGAGAGAGGAAGCCTGGATAGTTCAAGAGATGTCGAGAATGAACCGGGAACACGATCTCTTGGTCCAAGAAAGATCCATGGCGGCGGCAACAGACGCCGCCGTGCTTCAATTTTTGCAAAAGGTCTCCGAACAGCACAATCTTCAAATCCCAATAACCAATGCAACTACTTCAGCGCAAATCCAGATAAGATTGCCGGCGAAGAAAGATGAATCACTACTGCGGATGAGCTCATTTCGATGAGCAGAGAAGAGATGGAGCTCCCTCCGGCGATCTTGAGCTTCTCCGGCGAAGCTTGATCAGAGTTAATGAAGAAGAAGGGTGAAAAGACCAAAATGCCCATGGCAAATCGGAGCTCTCGCCTGAGACTTGACGGAATACAGCCATAGGGACTGATTTGACGAAAAACAATTATTTTCGGGGACTAAATCGATGAATACGTGATTCAGGGGCAACATTGACAAGTCGCGAATAAGTGAGGGACCAAATCGTTGATTCACACACACACACACACACACACACACACACACACACACACACACACACACACACACACACATATATATATATATATATATATATATATATATAGATAAAGTTCAAATGCGGTGGGGTCTTCCCGTGCGGCGAAATTCCAGAATACACCAACAGTGTTAACAATATGCACCAACAGTGTAATAAAAAAACACCACCATGAAATGCAATAAAACATCACAAAATACACAACAGACTCAAAAAATACACCATATAACTCACCACCCCCAATGGTGTATTTCCGAACAGTGTATGGTGTTTTTACTCACACCTAATGGTGTGTGTTTGGTGATGCAGGGCTCTGTTTACTCTGTTTTGTGTGGTGTATTTTCCTAACGTTGATGGTGCATATTTGTTGAACTATTGGTGTTGCCGCACCGTAAGAAATCGCCGCACCGTAAGACACTGCCGCACCTGAACTCGCCTATATATATATATATATACATACATATATATATATATATATATATATATATATATATATATATATATATATATATTTCTGCTATCAACGAATCACGATCATCAAAATGAGAATGTTGGTGTAGTCAATAGTCCATAGTATTGTTCTTCTCAATAGCATACTCATGTTCATTCTCATAGTGTTGAAGACCTTGCTCCTTCAAGATACCATAGATCAAACACGGAAACGGCAGATGGACCTTTGGCTCTTTACCATTAGTAAAATCCATGATATGATTGTAAATCAGAGAACCAAGATCATAGTTAATCCTATGCCGAATTTTATAGAGAAGAACTGCCATCTTCTTGCTAACACAATATAGAGCAACAGATGGAAGCCAATTGCTGGAGGCAAGTCTAAGCAGGACAGAGTATACTATGGTGAGCGAAGTAAAGAGCAGATCAGCGGAAGGCTAGGTAGTAACCGCAACATGAGTGAGACTCGAAGCCAAAACATCCACCCCAGGTTCAAAATCCTCTTCGAAAGTAGTTCGGTTGAAGTACCTATTGATCACTAAAGGACTGAAATCAAACCATCTTCCACACTTGATGATAGTGAGGTGAAGAGGCCAGAGTAGAATCGGAGGAGAGGTTTGTGTAGAATTTTGGGGTAAGCCACACAGAGTAAGTGCCTTTGCCACGAACAGTGTCGTGAAGAGTCTGATCACGAAGAAGAGTGATGATGTTGCAATGCGATAGCAGATTGTCCATATCAATCACCTTCTCAACAAGAAGAGATCGAGATAGATTGAGCTCCCACAAGTCTTGAAGTTCAGGTAGACGCAACATAGGTTGGAACACCTTAGGTTTAGGCTATTTGGAAGAAGAGGCTTTGGAAGCTGCAGTTGATTCAGATTTCTGGGATGGCTTTTTGGTCGATTTCGAGGCAGATTTAGAAACTGGTTTAGACACAGGGGTTGGAGAAATGACCGGGGTTGCAGAACTTGTTTTAGACCGAGTCAAACGAACAGAGCCAGAGGGTGTAGACCGATGTTTCCTAACTTCAAACAAGATAACTAAGTCATCATCCTCAGATTCATAAGCTTTTCTTTTGGATGACATTGGTGTGGAAACAGACCCAATTTTGGATTTACCTTTTCGTGACTTAGGAGGATCCGTTTGGAAAGGGACAGACATAATGGGAACAGATTGAGTGGAGGATGGGGGTTTTGGTAAGTTGGAGACAAGATTCACCAAGACAGACCTTTGAGAAGGAGAGAGTGGTTCCCCAGAGTGCGGAATGAGATCTCTAATTGAGAAACTAGAGGAAGCAGGTGGAGGCCCTGATTGAGAAACAGTGCTAGAGTCGGGCATAGGGTTCTTAAACCTCATAAGAGGACCGGTGTACACAACTGTTGACAAGGGGTTAGTATCTACACATGGTAAAGATGATTTCACATTTGAGAAGATAGATATATCAGGAACATTCATAAACAACTTAGGAACCCTAGGCTCGAGCAACGAGCTATTTCCATCTAGAGGGGCAGAAAACGTTACCAAAGCTTTTGACTTTCTTGCCTCTAATTCGGCAGCGAATTGATCTTCATCAATCAGGAACTCCTCCTCCAAATTAACACGCACTGGGATTTCGGAATGTACTGGCCAAGGATCAATTGTAATGTAGTGAGCAGCCACGGTGAGTATCCACTTCGACTCCTTCAAGGTGAGATTCTCCATTAGGTCCTGATTGTGTACTAATGTAGCTAGTACTCTTTCCTCAACTTCGGGTAACAGGGGTGAAGTTTTGATTAGCATCTGTCGATAGAGCTCTGTTCTCTCATCACCAGAGAGATAGACGAGAAAGGGATTGATGGTATTGGGATTTTCTGCCATGGTGGGAGAGAGATTTCTTCGATGGAAAGCCAGATGAAGATGATGAAGGAATCGAGTTTTTGGGGTATGTGACTCCCGAGGCAAAGGCTTTTGTTATGAGAAGGTGTAACAAGTTTGACCTACTCTTAGGGATTAAGGAAGATAAGATGAGAAAAAAAAAGGTTGACTTGGCACGGAAACCTTATTATTTACGACACGGGCCAGGAGAAAAGAAATATTAGTGGGAGTGACCCTGGGTCTGCATCTATTGCTGAGGTAGACCTGAAATCACAAAAAAAAAAAAAAAAAAAAAACTAGGAACAAAATTAGAAGCAAACCACATAGAGCTGCACGAAGAGTTTCAAATCTGGTTTTGTCCAAAGGTTTTGTCAAGAGATCTGCCAGATTCTTGTCTGTAGAGACATAGCTTAAGTCAATTTCTTTATCCTCCACTAGTTCTCGGATGAAATGATGACGGATATCAATATGTTTTGTACGGGAGTGTTGAACTGAATTTTTTGAGATGTTGATTGCACTTGTGTTATCACAGTATAGAGGCTTGTGCTCTTGACTTATTCCATAATCACTCAGCATTTGACGCATCCAAAGTAACTAAGTGCAACAGCTCCCCGATGCAATATACTCGGCTTCAGCTGTACTCAATGATATTGGGTTTTGCTTTTTACTTAACCAGGCAACTAGGTTATTTCCAATAAAGAAGCATCCTCCGGATGTACTTTTCCGATCATCTGTATTTCCCGCCCAATCAGCATCACTGTAACCTGCAAGACTAAGATTTGTGTCATTTCAAAACCAAATACCATAGTTAGCCGTACCTTTGACATATTTGATGATATGTTTTACTGCCTTCAGATGCAATTCTTTTGGTGCCGCTTGAAATCTAGCACATAATCCAACACTTAACATAATATCTGGGCGGCTTGCTGTTAGATATAACAGACTTCCTATCATGCTCCTGTAGAGAGTAGGGTCAATGTTTGTGTCTGGCTCAACTTTTGATAACTTTGTAGTTGTTGAAATGGGTGTTCTTGCATCTTTTGATGACTCTAACCCAAATCGTTTGACTAGGTTTTTGGCATATTTTTCTTGAGATACAAAAATTCCCTCAGCTGTCTGATGTACTTGCAACCAAAAATTATATCGTCAACATATACTTCAGCAATGGTTACATGCTTACCTAATCTTTTGATAAACAAGGTTTTGTCTGCTCCCTCTCGGTTGTAGCCATGTTGTACTAGATATATTGAGATAGTCTTTCATACCAGGCTCTTGGAGCTTGTTTTAGACCATATAGGGCTTTATCAAGCTTGTATACAAAATCAGGGTGATGAGGGTCTTCAAAACCTTTTGGTTGTGCTACGTATATGTCTTCTGATAGATATCCATTTAGGAATGCCGTCTTGACATCCATTTGGAACAATTTTATTTGTAGAGCACATGCAATTGATAGGAGTAGACGGTTGGATTCAAGACGTGCTACTGGAGCAAAAGTTTCTTCATAGTCAATCCCTTCGATTTGTGAGTAACCTTGTGCTACAAGCCTGGCTTTGTTTCATGCGATATTACCAGCTGAATCTGTTTTGTTACGAAAGTTCCACTTGTTTCCTACAACATTAACACCATTAGGTTTAGGAATTAAGTTCCATACCTTGTTCCTTTTGAATTGTTCTAACTCTTTTTGCATCGCCTTAATCTAGTGCTTGTCTGTCAGGGCATCTTTCACATTTTTTGGCTCTATCTTGGACGTATAACATGAGTATCCTGCTAGCTCAAGATAATAACGCTTTCTGCCCCTGGTTCGTACTCCAGAGGAGGGATCCCCAATAATATTTTGTGTCGGATGATACTTTTGAATTCGAGTAGGTGCATCTAGGTCATCTGTTTCTTGATCTGGTTCAGACTCTGGGTTAGATGGTGAAAGGGTTGGAGGAGAGGTTGGTTCTGACTCAGGGATAGGATTAGCGTTAGAAGGCTGCTGAACTTCTGTCTTAGGTTCTGGCGCAGTACCAGATGTAGGGAGATCATAGATAGTTTCATGTTGATTTTCAACTACAACGTTTATGGATTCCAGGATGGTTTTCGAGGTTTTGTTATACACTCGGTAAGCACGACTATTCGGGGAATAACCAAGAAAAACCCCTTCATCACTTTTTGGCTCAAACTTTGCCGTTGGATGACAATCCTTCAAAATAAAACACCGTGAACCGAAGATATGAAAGTGCTGAATATTTGGTTTCTTACCTTTCCAAATCTCATAAGCTGTCTGATGAGTTCCTGGTAGAAGGTAGACTCGGTTTATGGTGTAGCATGCAGTGTTTACTGCTTCTGCCCAGAACTTTTGAGGTAGTCTTTTGGCGTTTAGAAGTACCCTGGCCATTTCCTGGATGGTCCTATTTTTCCTTTCTACAACTCCGTTCTGTTGCAGTGTTTTGAGAGCTGAGTATTCATGAGTTATTCCCAGGCTTGCACACAGATCGTCGAACATCTAATTTTCGAACTCACGTCCATGATCACTTCTGATTCGGATAATTGGTTCATTTTTCTCCCGTTGTAGCCTAAGCCCTAGGGACTTAAATGCTTCATAGGTCTCGGACTTTTCTCTGAGGAAAACAACCCAAGAAAAACGTGATGAGAAGTCATCTACGTATACTAAAATATACCTTTTACCTCCAATACTTTCAGTGCGTGTTGGTCCTATAAGGTCCATGTGAAGCAGTTCCAGACAGTGTGTTGTTTGGATTTTGTTCTTGGGAGAGTGAGGAGCTCTTGTTTGTTTTCCGGCTTGGCATGCACCCAGACACTTGTTGCCTCAACCTTCATGTTGGGTAATCCACGAACTCCGTCAATTGTCACTAGTTTGTCGAGTGACCTGTAGTTCAAATGGCCTAGTTTTTGATGCCATATTTCCAAGTCTCTGGTACTGGACCTACAACAGAGCACATCATTAGTAAGAATGTAACAGTTATCGGATGACCTCTTACCTTCCATTACACACTGCTAGTTGACATTCATGACATTGCAACCGTCCTTTTGTAAAGCACACATTCCACTCTTGATCACACAGTTGGCTTACGCTTATGAGATTCGCATGAAGACCAGAGATTAGAAGAACTTGAATAAGCTTGGGCAGACCTGAAACGTTAAGGGCACTAGTGCCATTAATTTGTTCTTTGACCCTGTCACCATAAGTAACTTCACCTTTGCTCTTTTTGATGTTGGTTAGATAAGATGGATTTCCAGTCATGTGTTGCAAGCAACCACTGTCAAAGTACCACCTTTCTTCTCGGTTGGTGCTGGTAGAGTGAAACGAAACATGGCACACAAAGTCGTGTTTTCTTACCCAAACTTGCTTAACAAAGGGCGTGATATTTTTGTTCGTGAATTTTTCTCTTCGCTGGTCTTTGTAGAAATAAAAACACTCTGGTCTTGTGTGTCCTCTAACTCTGCAATAATGGCAAACATGTTTATAGAGTTTATATTTAAGCAGTGAATGTTTCATATTTCTGATCATTGTCTTCGACTTGCTGGACTGAACCTCTGGGCCAGATCCTGAGGCAGAGTCAAAACGAGTAGCTTTCACAAACACAATCCCGCTTTTGCCTTTGTTCCCAGAGAAACCTAAGTCGTAGGTAGTAGGGATTGTCCTTCTTGAGTCCAGTATTTGATCTAGTGTAGAAGTGGTGTCCATCATCTTAATCCGACGTTTCAGCATATCTAGCTCTCGTTTCAGACCTTCTTCACGCTTGAGCCCGTCATTGATGCGCTCATCTTTATCAGCAATTTGTTTTTTATATATTTTCTTAGCATTTTCCAGAACACTGACTTGGCACGACAGGGTTCTATTAATCTTGGAGAGGGTTTCCCATTAGTGTAATTTTCTGTTCTCTTCTCTGGAGTTGGTGTGGGCAGGTCGTCCTCTTCGGCAGACGAGGAGTCCCCAACCTCATATTCGATGTCAGCTTTTGGTTCATCCACGTTCCCTATTGATGCAATCACCGTGAAAGCCACAAAGTTCCCTGAGATTTCTTCTAAGTCAGACCCGGTTCCTATCTCAGGTTCCTCGTCATCACTCCACGTCAGTGTAGTAGCTGCCATTGATTTTTTTCGTCTTAGGTATGTTGGACATTCTGCTTGAACATGTCCAAAGCCCTCACACTCATAGCACTTGATGCCTTTGCCTCCCGACTTGCCCTTGGGTTGAGAAGTTTTGTATAAGCCCTGACGAAAATTTGTCAATCCAGACTTTTGACTGTGTCGAAGAGCACTTGAGCCCGATCCTTTTTGTGGTTGAAACCTTCCACTTCTGGTGTTTTGTCTTTGCTTGACCTGTTTCAACAACTTGGAAAAACCTTTAGACAAAAAGACTACTGGATCGTCACTTACCTCGTTTGGGTCAGACCCAGCATTCACGTCTTCAGCCGTAAAGGCCACAACCTTTTCTTTGGTGGAATGACTTGTCAATATTTCCATCTCGTATGTTTGTAGGCTGCCCATAAGCTGATGCACAGACCTATTCTCCTAGCCATCATGCTCTTGAATGGCCGTGACTTTCATTCTGAACCTTGGAAGTAGCGAGCGTAAGATCTTCTTCACAAGTCTGGGTTGGTCTAATGGTTTTCCTAAGATAATTGCTCGGTTGGCCAGCTCTCGTATACGCGCATGGAACTCAACAATCGTTTCATCTTCTTTCATTTTTAACTCCTCGAAGTCAGTTTGGACCATTTGAAGTTTGCTTTGCTTGACGGATTTTGTCCCTTCATATGTGGTTTCCAAAGTTTCCCAAGCATCTTTGGCTGAGTTACACCTTGCAATGATAGTAAACTGACTCTCATGCATTAAAGAATAAATAGTATCTAAGGCTTTATTGTTATATACTGCAAGTGTCATCTCCTCATCTGACCATTCTGTTTCCGGTTTGAGGACTGGGGAAGCTTCTGCAGTGGCTCCAGCTTTAGTAGGTGGAGTCCACCCAGTAAAGACTGCCCTCCAGATCCCCTCCCCTTGCGCGCGAATGTGCATTTTGGTGCGGGCCTTCCAGTACAATAAGTACGAACAAGCAAACCAGAGGAATAAAGCCAGATAAAAAGATCTCGAGTTCAAGAACCACAACGAAGGCAGATCGAGTAGACTAATAACTTAAGTCTCCTTGCTCTGATACAAATTGAAAAGGCGTGTGGATCTTGAATGCAAGACTTAACTCTAAGATTCCAAATAAATTTTAGTATTCGTAGATTAATCTGGGTTAGCAACAGATTCTAAGACAGAAGATAAAACAGACAATAAAATGAACAATAAATGGAACCAGACACCAACACATGTTCATGCAGTTCGGAGCATCACTCCAACGTCTGCGGGGCTACTCACGTCAGCCTAATCCACTTGATGATCAAAAGACTACAAGAGAGAGTTCAATACACACAAGGTATTCACTACACTACTCTACCGACCCAACTATCATGTATGAGGACTGATCATGCAAGCCAGACTTCATATTGTGACTTGGTGTCTTCAACAGCAGTAACAGGATGGACGATATAGAGGACAAGAGGTATTAAGATTGTGTATCTTGTACTTCGTAAAGTCGACATCTTCTCACTAATCAAAGTAGCTTTTTATAGAGGTGAGAAGAGAGACTTCCAAGGTTGCAAGAGTTGTTGCTTGGTCCTCAAAAGCATCAGCACCTTATGATCTAGATCCGCATAGATGTAGGGTCTTCATAGAAAACAACCTTTGAAAAAGCAATTCTGAAGACTGTGATTGCAAACGTTTCTGATCCAGAATAAGGCATAGAGGATTATTTTGACAATTAATTTAGCCAATACCTATAGGGTCCAATGTGTCACATTTTTGTGTGCACTTACATAAGGAAATATAAATTATTTTCCACTATTGGAGTTTAAAACCGGAACATATCAACAAATGTGTTTTAGCAATTGCAAAAGTTGAGGTTCTTGAATTATATTAACATTATCAAATTAAGAATAAAATTATATTATATAATTATCTCAATTGGAACAAAATAAGGAAAAATAAAATATTTTTCACTATTGTTCTTTGAAACCTGAACATATGAACAAATATGTTTTAGCAATTGTTAAAGTAGAGGTTCTTGTATTATATTAATATCATCAAATTAAGAATAAAAATTTATTAAAATATTTATATAATATTCCGCTGCCGGGGTTTGAACCCGGAACAATTAATCCAATTTGTTTAAGCAATGCTACAACGGATCCCTTTGCACTTATTTGTGTTCTAATATTATATAAATCTTGTCAATACGAATGTTATGCCGTGGAACCGTGTCTACCTTACAAGGTGGACGTGGTTCAATTTCATAATTACTAAACTGTATTTTTATAATTATAAAACTCTACTTTCGTAATTTTTGAACTTCATATTCACAAAAATTGAACTCTCAATTCACAATTACAGAAATCTTTGTTTATATTTACTTATCTCTATGTCCATCATTATAAAACTCTATGTTCATAATTTTTGAACTTCATATTCACAATTACAGAACTCTATATACATAAATTTTTGAACTCTATATTCACAATAATGTCAGTTTTGGAACCGTCTCCACCGTATAAGGTGAACACGGTTCCACTACATAAATTGCCATACCAATATAATAACACAATAAGGAAAAATAAATATATAGTTTTCCAAACTCGGAATATATAATCAAATGTGTTTTCGTCATTGCAAAAGAAGGGACCTTTGCTTTCATGGGTGTTCTTATTTTATATAAACATTATGTAAATTGGAACAAAATAAGGAAAAGTAAAATATTTTCTACTATTGGAGTTTAAAATCGGAACATATCAACAAATGTGTTTCAGCAATTGCTAAAGTAGAGGTTCTTGTATTATATTAACATTATCAAATTAAGAATAAAAATTAATTAAAATATTCCATTGCCAAGGGTTGAACCCAGAACAATTTATTGAATTTGTTTGAGCCAATGCCACAGCGGATCCCTTTGCAATTATTTTTGTTCTAATATTATATAAACCCTGTCAATACGATTGTTATGCCGTGGAACCGTGTCTACCTTACAAGGTGGACGCGGTTCAATTTTCACAATTACTAAACTGTATTTTTATAATTATAAAACTCTATGTTCGTAACTTTTGAACTTCATATTCACAAAAATTGAACTCTCAATTCACAATTACAAAAATCTTTGTTTATATTTACTTATCTCTATGTTCATAATTTTTGAAATTCATATTCTCAATTACAGAACTCTATGTTCATAAATTTTTGAACTCTATATTCACAATAGTGTCAGTTTTGGAACCGTCTCCACCTTGCAAGGTGAACACGGTTCCACAACATAAATTGCCATATATTAATATAGTAACACAATAAGGAAAAATATATATATAATTTTCCAAACTCGGAATAAATAATCAAATGTATTTTCGCCATTCCAAAAGAAGGGTCCTTGGCATTCGTGGGTGTTCTTATATTATATTAACATTATGTCAATTGGAACAAAATAATGAAAAGAAAAATATTTTCTACTATTGGTGTTTGAAATCGGAACATATCAACAAATGTGTTTCAGCAATTGCTAAAGTAGAGGTTCTTGTATTATATTAACACTAGTATTTGCCCCCGTGCGATGCACGGAATGAATTTGTTAAAATATTTTAAGAATATTTGAATCGATCTATAATTATATAAATTATTATATCGAATATTATATAATGTAATTGATACATTGAGTTGGATCGATTGTATTTTCTAATGTTATAATTGCTTGAATTCGATCAAATAATTGGCCAAAATTAATAGTCAATGTGTAGATGTACGCATTAAGTGCTGAAACTTTAGATATTTTAAATATCAGTGTTCAGTGAATTATATATGGGGATCATATTTAATTTTGAGTGAATTATTAATATTCATTACCTTTTCCAATTCGTCTAATTTGTTTTCCATCTTTAAGCAAAATCTTCCTTACACATTCTATACATAATTTTACATCTTTATATATGCGTATTGTAATGAGGTCCTGTAATTTTGAATAAAGATTTGCTACAAAATCAGTCATAATTAATTTCTTTTAAATCATTCATACGTATTGCAAGAACATTTCCATCTTTAACTACACAATTTTTCTTATAAATTGTGAATACTAAACGATTCTATTCAATTTTCCATTTGTAAATATATATATATATATATATCTTTACACAACTATATTTCCAGTAACATATATACAAACATTTTTTAATATTTCTACTAACTTTACATTTTATAAAATATATAATCGAGATTAATATTTTTTCATCTCGGCTAAACTTTTTGTTTTTTGACATACTCGGCTAAACCTTATAATTGCGCAATCCTTATATTCTTAGTATAAAATAACATTTTGTGTAAAAATTTTTAATTTTCATATCGATTAATATTCTTTCCATCTCGGCTAAACCTTATATTTCCATATCGTATTGCAAAACATTTTCCATCTTTAATTACAAAATTTCCTTACAAATTGTGAATACTGAATGATTCTATTTCATTTTCAATTTTTAAATATATATCTTTACATAACTTTATTTCAGTAACATATATATACAGATTTTTTTATATATATTTCCAGTAACTTTATATTTTATAAAATATATAACGGAGATTAATATTCTTTCTATATACTAAGTTAGTTTGGAAGTATTTTTCATTTCCAGTCAATTA